GATCTTCATATCAAAATGTAATTAAAATATTCATGAGCATGTTGCAATGAAAACATGCATTTGGGTTGATTTTAGTCTGTTTATTTATTTATTTTACTAAAAGAAAAAAAGTTAAAACAAAGCTGGATTGTTCTGTTGGCACTTCTGTGTAATAGAAGTTGCTTTTGTTTAATGTTGCTATGGGCCAATAGGTCAATATCTGCGCTTCATGTCTTTACACATTTTGAGGATTATTAGTGCAGGGCATTGCCTTCCTGACTTTTTAAGCTATATTGGATTCTGCTGGTGATTTTCTACAGTCACTTATAGCACAAACAAGCTACTTTTCCATCACTCACTCTAATCATGGTCTAAAGAAGCACCCTGGCATTCCATATAGATTTATACATATTAAAGCAAGATTCATTTGTGACAATGACAAAGACAGGTGACACATCTGCTTTTAGGTGATAAGGCATTTTGGCAGTGCAGAGGACTATCTTTTCAACTGCTGTTTACCAATAAGTGTCTAAGACGTCTCGCCTTGATCGGCCCCCACATTCCTGTTCTCCTTAAGGAGTCCCCTCAAACACGAGGGGTTCTTCTCCTCTACTCCAATCCATCTCTGCAATCCAGCAGGCCTCCTACTGCGCCTCCTCTAAAGCCTGTCAGAGGGGGGAGTCTCCAGCTAGCTGCATGTGCTTGCAGGCATGTAAGTATATACTTGTGCCTTCAATATAAACTCTGTTTGCTTAGGAATTGCAACATCTACTTTTTAAAACTGCACATGGGAGAAGTGAAACTCAACAACAATGTGAACATGAGAAATGATGCATGTTGCAACATAGCAATGGCTTCACTTTCACCAAGAAGTTTGCGATACTTTTCTGAGTGAGCAAACTTGAAGTTCGATCCAAGTTCATTGTGGATGAAGAAACGGGTTAAAAAAAAAGTGATAGACTTGTATTGAGTTAGCCATCCTGTAGCTTAAACATTAGAGCATGGTGCTAGCCAGGGTCATGGGTTCGATTCTCAGGAACTGAAACTGAAATATGAAATAAAAATGAGTACCTTGAATGCAGTCACTTTGGATAAAAACATCTGCCAAATGCATAAAAAATGTACAATTAATTAGCCATAAAGAATATTGGCCATGGACTTTGCATGGACAAACACCACTCATTTTTACAGAAAATGTAATAATGTACTAAAGCAATTTTTGAGTCTATATATTGAGTCTATATTGTAGTTTAACATATTTTTTCTTGTCCCTTCTCATTCTACTTTGCTTTGCTGTATAGAAAAAGTGCAAATAAAATAAAATAAAAAATATGAGTTATTAATTATTCATATTTAATATTTATAAATGATTTAATATTTATAAAAAATATTATTCTATTTTGAATCAATTTAATAATGATTTGATTTTTTAAAATATATTTTCCATTTTAATTTTATTTAAATTTGTATGGTTTTAATTATAGCAGTTTTTCTATTTTTTATGTCTATATAGCTTTTATTCATTTTTATTTCAGTTTTAGTTACCAAATTAAATATAGAGTTTTTATATTTTATTTTATTGCAGTTCATGTTTATTTCAAGTAATGAAAATGTGTTTTTATGGTGTTATTTAACTGTAATAACTAGTAAATTTAAACTATTAAATTAAAATTATAGCTAGAAATAGCTCTGTTTGAGACATTGGATTGGGGTGGCCATACAAAGTTCAGTTTGAGTACATGATTTAGTTTTTGACGTAGTTATCGGCTCAATCTTGCTTCTGTAAGACTTGCATATTTCCTTGTGTGCATTTTCATGTGTCTCATTCCTCATAGAGAGAGAAACTGTGAAGTTAAACAAGCAGCAACCCTGTCCACACACACAACTCTTAGCACACTTTCACTCTCTTCTTCTGATAAAATAATTCTGCTTGGGAAGCAATAACACATTGTGATAATTCTCAGCAGATGTGAGCATGCCTTAGCAAGTTAACAAGAGTCTGTGGGGAGTGTGGACATCATGAAGGAGAGAGGAAGAGGCCTAACAGGCTGCGGTTGTGCACCAGGTTCCCCAGTGCTTCTCAAACCTGGCAGCAATGTCTGGAGCTTGTCCAGGGTCTTTATACACACTCACCACAGATCCAGCACAGGTTACTCAACTTTATGAAAGACTGAAGATTCCTGGAGTTGAGAAAATTACCACAAAACACAGATCCATAATAGCCTGTTCTGGTTTGATTTCAGGTGGAAGAACCTAAATATCAGATGCATTTCTTTTCCCCATTGCTTTTGCTATTAAGAAAGGTGCTTCATGTTCAAGGCAAGAAACAACTAGTGCAAGTAACCAGGTGAACAAATAGTATCACACATCATTTTTTAAGTGCTGTTCTTAGAAAATGTTTCTTTCCATTGCAAGCAGGATGTAAAACCGATTTGCACCATATTTTGTGACAGTTAACCTATATCGCGTGCTAGTGGACATGTATTCATTTACACTACATACATTCAATCAATCCAATAACATAGTCAAAGAAGATCGCGCATGTGTTTTTGCTTTATTTCAGCATTTGAAAAATTCAACAACGCATAAATAATCCACAATTGTTTAAAAGCTTTATTTCGATGATTTAGGTAGTTCTGGTGGCTATACTTTACATTGGATTGTCATGAGCTGCATTCTAGAAATATGTATTTTTTATACATTGGTTTTTTTTTATTTTTTTTTTATTAGCTGTTCTTTTAGATTCTTTGGGCCTGTTTTTAATTATCTTTCTACTTTACGTGATAGTAAGCTTTTGAAACCAGTTCATACACTCTTTACAACGCTGTTTTTGAAATGTTTAGATTATTGCAAAAAATCTTCGTACTCTTTTGTAAACTTTTCGCTCCCCCATTCCCCCCCCCCCCGAATTTTAGACAATATTCCGGAATGCTGGAATTTAGAAGTGTTTAAATAAATAACAGAGATGTAAAGCTAAAATATATCCTCTAAATAATCCACTCAAGGATTACATATAAATAATCCACGCTCAACTCTACCGGATATTAACTTTAAAGTTTCATGTTATCATAACATTATCCATGGCATCACTTGAAAGAAATCTGAGCATTTTTACCGGCATGTCATTGCTTTTATTTTTTCTAACTGTAGGCCTATTCCAACCGAACTAACATAGATCTGCATAGATAGCAGTGTCAAACATTGCAGCTACAAACCGAGATGCTTTAAACCCAAGAATCGTTATTTTATGATCATATTTCGTTAAATTATCTCAAAAGATGACTTATGCGCTTTGGAGAGTCAAATAGCCTATAACGTTGTAACAAAAATCATGCAAGAAGAGACAAATGCCAGTAAGTAGTTGTGTAATTTGTGAAAAGTTTATTTTTCTCTGACCAAATCCTGAAGTTCTGTTTTACAGTTATCTGTATGCTGCACCTAATCAGCAGTGCGTCTCTGACCCGCGCGCAGCTCACCAGACCCGGACACTGAGGGTCAGGGCTCCGCTGCCGGGCACCAGGTCCTTCCCTACCGGCGCATCTGCATGTGAAATCGTCATTTCACACAGCCACACTCCCTAATTGTTGTAAAAATTATTTGTGAAATTGCTTTCCTCCAGGAGTGTTCGCCACGGCAATTTCCACACAATCTCAGCGCGCGGCGGTCCCACAGAGCTGAACACACGCACCGCCATTCAACCTAAAGAATCTGGAGGATTTTGATCAGATGTTAAAAGACTCAGATCTCACGGAAAAACAGGTGAAGCGACTTACACTCTTAAAATGAAGTTTTAATTAGGAACGCAACGCAAGGGTTTTCCGACCATAAAGAGCATGTTATTCTCACGCTCTTTAGAAAAAGCATGGTGTTTCAAAGTAAAACACTGATCTGAAGTACCTTCTGAAACATTAACTTTTTGAATCTCTATAGAACAATACAGTCAACTCAAGAAAATGTTATTTTTGCTATAGGAAGAGGGTTCTTTGCTGAATCTAAGTTTCTAACAAAGAACCATTCAAAAAGCTTTATTTTGTGCACATTAGGTGCATTATTATTATTATTATTATTTAGTAATGCGACTATGCCATTTTCTTTAATTAAATCCTATCACGTTGTGTTGATGATTGATTTCCACATTGAATATGTCAAATGTTTCAGCCAAAATGTCTTTATCTTCCTCATTTTTGTGCATCATCATGACCCTCTTTGACCTCAATCTCAGGTAGGTGTGCAGTTTTGGATACGCTCTTGTTCATTCTGTTCTTTCTTCACACAAAAAAAGCACAATAATCAGATCCTTTAGGTTTTCTTCGTGACACAGCACTGTAAATTGAAGGATATCCGTCGTGTTTCTCTATATTTATTCACACAAAAATCACCTGACTAATTCAAAAAAAATAAGTTATGGAATATGCACAAGGTCAAGTTGAAATACACGATTACAATCCTTTTACAAACGATTACAAACATGTTTAGGGTCACACAGATTTCCATTCCCACTGCAATGCCATATAAACTCGTGTTATTTATTTTTAATTCCTAGAGCCTTTTTGTGGCTAATAATAAAAATATTATATTATATTGTGTGTGTGTGTGATTGTGTGTGTGTGTGTGTGTGCGTGAGAGAGAGAGAGAGAGAGAAATCTAACGTTGTTTCTTCCTAGTCCAGAGAGTGTCCAAAGCATTAAACTGACGTTTCAGTTCAAATGACAGATGAATGAAAACTCTTCGTAACATTTCCCGTGTTGACTTAGAGAGAGAGTGGGAGGGTGGTGTATGTGTGTGTTTTCTGCAAAGTTCCTCCGGATTGGACGGCATGTCTTGGGCATTACCCTTTTTCTCCACGATGAATAAAAGAGTGTTGGAGAGCCTATCGTTACGCGCGCTTCCTCCTCCCACTATGTGCGCCAAATTTGGCCACTTAAACTCCTCAGGCAACAAACAGGAGCTGTAATCAAAACTAGCAGAACCTCTCACTAATATTTTCCTCACAGTTGCTTCAGAGCACGTTTCATGCTTTCCTCTGCTCATCCTACTGTTGGTTTTTGGTATCCACTGTAAGAACTTTGTCTTCTGCACACTTGGCATTGTCCACTGGTGCGTGTTTATGTGTGTTTGGATTTCTTTTAAATTTTTTAGACCTGTTACAGTTTCCACTGCACAAACAACACTGGAGCTTTCTGTGTGATTGATTTCTTTAATTTGTTAGTGAGAGTTTAAATTGTTTGGGAGTAGCTGGAATGGCTACTTTACCAGGAACATTTCCTCGAATGATGCGGCCAGCACCAGGCCAGAACTACCCACGAACCGGATTCCCTTTAGAAGGTACAGAAACTTGTGCTTTTCTTCTTATTATTGTTCTTATTCTTAAAAACATCTTTTATCACATATTTGTAAATGCATTTGTAATTGATAAAAAATGTGTCATTTTAAAATACTACAAAAATCATTTTGGATATGCTGTGTCAAACAGCTGTGTCAAAGTTAAAAAAGAAAAAAGAAAAGAAAAAGAAAAGCAAAAAAGAAATTACCGGCTTAAATCGAATTTAATAAGTAAATTATATGACCGAACAAAAACTTTTAAACATAGAAGAGATTGTTTTATGGAATTAGTAACATTTTAATAATTGACAATAAACGTTCTTTTAAAATCTTGTCATCTTGCAGCCTCACGAGTAAAATGTTCTGAACTTGTTAATTGCATGCGCCGCTCGCGCATTAAATGGGAAACTCTTTCCTAGATCGAGTGAATTCGTGCTTAAGAGCAGTTTGACGAAAGCCTGCCAACCCACGAATCCTGCAATCTGTGGGATTTGCTGAAGTATCTCGCAGCAGTGAAGGGAAATAAAACTCACAGCTGAGAGCTGGCTCAAAGCATCACACTACTATTTGTGTTGCATGACTGGGAATAATCGAGGTTTAAAGTGGCACGTCTTTAGTGCCTCTTGAATGGCAATTAGTGTCCTCAAGTGTCCCATCCTCTCACAACACATCAGATAGACTGATAGTAAAGAAGGATTCTTTCAGGAAAGAAAATGTGTGAGGATGAGATCTTTGGATTAATTCTCCTTCCAGGCTTTTATTGATCATTATTCGTATCTTCCAATAAACACGAATAGTTTCAAAATCTACATATCACGTGACAAATGTGAAAAATCACTCTGATATGATTAATGAGAATGATAGCATGTAGATGTTTTTGTGATAAATCCTGTAAAAAGCCTGGAGGACTCACTTGCAGAATTTACCCCTCAAAACTCAATGGCATCAATTTAAACACCAAGTGAAGCGCACTTTACATTATGCATCATTTTAAAACCAGTGCGTAATTCCAAGGCGTTCAACAAATTAATATCGCATAGTACGTAATATAATCGCATAGTTGAAAAGGGTGTTCAATCGCTGTCTGGTATGATATTGTTTCTTTTGTTCAAACTGAATGTTTTTATCCAGTCTCGACGCCTCTGGGTCAAGGTCGAGTGAACCAGCTCGGTGGAGTTTTCATCAACGGAAGGCCTCTGCCAAATCATATTCGACACAAAATAGTGGAAATGGCCCATCACGGCATTCGACCCTGTGTGATCTCCAGACAACTGCGGGTCTCACACGGCTGCGTGTCCAAAATCCTCTGTCGGTACCAGGAGACCGGTTCCATTCGTCCGGGAGCGATAGGTGGAAGCAAACCGAGGGTGAGTGAACGATTCCAGCTGCACGCTGTCGATATCAAAGGCATGTTTAGATATATACAAATCGTAACGGGGAGATTATGAATAATTATTATTAATTCTTAAATATATTTTATTATACAAAAAAATAAAATAAACAACTCTTAAATCTATTTGGAATTTATAGTGAACAGAATGCGCATTTCTTGTGCTTTTTCCCTACACGTTTTCTGTTCGACACTAAAGCAAGTTGCAACACCCGATGTTGAAAAGAGAATTGAGGAATACAAACGCGAGAATCCAGGGATGTTCAGCTGGGAAATCCGGGATAAGTTGCTGAAGGACGGGGTGTGTGACAGAGGCACGGTTCCTTCAGGTGAGGCCTCTTCCGGTAAGCACCATTTCTTTCTTATTGACATAGAGAGGGCGTTACGCGCTTCACAGCGTCTGCTTAAACATAGAGAAAAAAAAATGTATGTTCGGTTTTAATTCATTTTGGATTTTTAGAATTGAATTATATAAATGAAAATTGAGATCTCTATGAAATATTAAATTCACAATCACATTAGTAATGTTTATTGTTATGATTGTTTAATTGGGTGTTACAGTGATTATTGTCTCTCTTTATAGTTAGCTCCATTAGTCGGGTTTTGAGAGCTCGTTTTGGCAAGAAAGATGACGATGACGATGACGAGTGTGATAAAAAAGATGAAGACGGAGAAAAGAAAACCAAGCACAGCATCGATGGGATTCTCGGGGATAAAGGTCAGAGGCCGTTACATTTGTCATTGCGTGCGAATAGATGCGAGGAAACGTGGTGCGTAAAAGTTGTGCGTTATAACTCAAACTCGCGTGGGAGATGTTTTTTTGAGGCGTGGATCAGTTGTACTGACAGATCGTGATGGACTGGTGCTATAATTGCTGCTGTTGTTGCAATTGATATTTTATTAGGCAGTTATTTGAAAGGGACAGATGCTGCAGTCCTTCATTCTCGCCAGGGGGAATCTATGCGCCCCCTTGGTAAAAAAAAAAGAAAAAAGGCACAAATAGCTCTCATTATTCGTGCTGCTAGCTGTTCAGTACTTACTCAATTATTTATGTGAGCCCTGACGTCAGGTATTTAGCCGGGTAAATTAATTTGTGTGGCATTTCCCGTGCGTTTTAACGACCCCCTAAACGACAACTGACAGTTTGACCCATTTGAGAATCCATGTCTGTTTTAGCAGCTACGAGACACGTGGACCCAGTGGAGGTGACTTGTTTTGGCAACATTTATACGAATTAGTATTATTATATGATCTTTATAATATTGTGAACTGAAAATGATCATTTGAAAATGTTTGAATTGAATTGTATAACAATAGCAATCCGAAAATATATGATCGGCTTCATTGGAAAAAAAGTATTATTTATTAAATTATTTGTATTTCATTTTAGGCTCTATATTTAATATATCTATATTATATATAATAGCCTGTAATTAAACATTATAGCGTACTATTATAATTCGAAATATGATATTATAATTCGAAACTGTTATATTTCTATTCTTTCAATAAAGCGAGATTTATAGCGGGCCACAATACGTTTTTGCCTTTTTAAACGCGGTTATGAACAGTCTCGTTTTAAGCCTTTGTAACCTTTAGACTGAAATACAAAAGAGAAAAGGCTCTGGAGCCGGGCAGCAAAAAGAGTAACTGGACCGGTGACCCCCATTCAAAGATCCCAGAAAAGAGGGGAAAACTTTGTACAAAGGGTAGTAAAAAAAAAAGAAAGGCAGATAAATTATTCAGTGCTCCCTGCTGCTAGATAGTTTTGTAATATGAAGGAGCATTTACAAATGTAAACTCAACATTTCATGGTGCAAAACGGCGTCTTTTGTGCGGGTTTAGTTGTGCGTAACTGCGCAGCTGGTTTAAGACAAAATAAAGCTTTTACATTTACACATATTTTTTTAATAGAATTGGTATAATGATAATGATATTTTGAGATGGGCGAATCAATCATTATGTTAATAAAAATATCCATAGTATTATTTATGTTTTCTCCAAATTACATGACCTAAATTATGCCAAAGTTATACGCTCAGATTACCTCCCTCATAATTAATATTACACGCATTTATACACAGGCCAAAACTGATATTCGTTATTAAACAAATGCAAGAAAAACAATCTTTCTGTTGCTGTCCACTGGTTGTGGTTGTTAATTTGTTTGTAATGTTGTGAGTGCGTCATCTCTGGGTTAATTATTCCATAAATCTGTCATTTATAGTGTCTCGTCTTCACTGAATTCACTGTTAAATTCTTTGAAGGGATTCTTTAAGTTTACCATCCGGATAACATTTAATGATGTTAAGACGTATTAGAGCTGCTGTGTGTTGAATGGGCGTCTGTGTTGCTGAGGAGGGTAATAGCTCGGAGGCACCGGTAAGAAACACACTGATCCTCCAGCAGCTCTCGCGCCGGGGTTTCGCGCACAAACGTAATGTAGAAGAGCTTTTAAACCCTGATTAAACTGAGATATATATAATTTTTAGCCATATACTAAACATATGAATAATTTGTAAACTTTTTGGGGGTATAGAAAATTCGTGTATTTATTTATTTTTATTGCACGTGATTATAAAGTGTTACATTTATTATGCAGTCGACTATTTATTTAATAAAAATGTCAGACCTCAGATTTTTGTTGACGTTCTTTTGGCATACAAAATGTATTTATTTATTTATTCGTGGCATGTGTTTATTGGGTCGACTGATTACGCAGTTAGAATCTGGTGGATTCTTATGTATGTGCTAAATGTCTAATGTAAATGTGTTTGTTTATTTATTTGTTTATGGCATAATGTTAAAAATGTTGAAAACAAACAAACGACATAAACGTTGTGTGTGTTTCCTACGCCCTGAGCAGATCTCCAAGTGCCTAACCTTAATAGCCTTAACTATGACTTCCACATTTGGTTTAGTGGCCATTACAATAATAATAATCTTGTGCACCTGCCATCCTCGTTACGGAAATAAAAAAATATGATGAGCGACAGCAGAGTTAGCACAAACCTGCCAAACGTAATTAGTCTTTAATGGGTTCCAGCCCCGCGTCTGACAGCTCACCTGGTGCTCTTTTTGTCTGGAGGAGCATCAGTTAAACGCAACCACGCGTCCATTTGTGAGAGTGGCACTGGACACTTCAGCAAATCTGTGGATTACCTGAGCTTTTCAGAATAATCAAACAGACTTCAGTCGGGGGTTTAAGAGTGTTGTTATGGGATAATAGTAATAAAAAAAACAGTAGGCGAGACGGATGTGAGCGATGCGCAGTCTCGGTTTTACTGTACACAGGAACCCAATGATATTTAAAAGAAAGCATAAATGTATACTTCTATAATGTAACGTTTCACCTATGATAAAGCATGAAGAGAATATTCTGGAATAGAGCCGTTTTCGCTCTTGCTTCACACTTATATGAAAATTAAGCAGATGCTTTCGAGCCTAAAGCCGCACTGAAAGAGAAGCATAGGGAGACATTTTAAACAAATCCATCTGGAATAGAATATGTTACAGGGACACACACACACAGAGAGAGAGAGGAATATTAAGTGAAAGTAAGGGGAAGTTATTTAGCTATTAATATTTTTTCTCCTCGGGCGTCGAGGGTGACTCCATCTGCACTTTCTTGCATAATAGCTCGGAGGCACCGGTAAGAAACACACTGATCCTCCAGCAGCTCTCGCGCCGGGGTTTCGCGCACAAACGTAATGTAGAAGAGCTTTTAAACCCTGATTAAACTGAGCCCCTTTATTTCTGTTCACTTTCATCTCTAAACGGCTCACAGTGACTCGCCCAGGGCGTAAATTCATGAGATTTGGAGTTTATTTTATATGATATTTATTTATTTAGCGATTACATTTATGGTGTGTACAAAATACATCATATATTCATTTTTTATTGCATGTGTTTTTAAGGTGTCAAATTGATTACTATGCAGTTAGTCAAAAAAGGCTGACCTCATATTTGCATTGACTTGTTTCGGCATACATAATGCAAATTTATTTATGTATTGCTTGTGTGCAAGGGGTTAAATTGATTACGCAGTAGACTATCTACAGTTAATCAAATAAGTCAGACCTCAGGTTTGGTTGACTTGCTTTGGCATTATTGTTTTGGTCTTAAATTATAAATATGTTACAGGGACACACACACACAGAGAGAGAGAGGAATATTAAGTGAAAGTAAGGGGAAGTTATTTAGCTATTAATATTTTTTCTCCTCGGGCGTCGAGGGTGACTCCATCTGCACTTTCTTGCAGCTATTTTGGCTGGGCTGAAATTGTGGGAGACCCAAATGTTGGGCAGAGATAACATAACCATCAGAGTGTGGACCATCACTGCATTAAACACGGATTAACCTCTTCTCTCCCGTCAGTCACCCTGTCTCAACACAACTCTAGAATGTGACTGGCGAGGGATTTTCTGAGTGTATAGAGTCCAGGGTTTTATCCATGAACACAACCACAACAATATATATATATATATATATACTAAATATAAATCATTGTTATTATTTTTTATTATTTCTAATTGTTCTTTTTTATGCTCTGTTATTATCCATTTTTGTTGACAGGTATAATAAGTTGAACAGATATAAGCTCATAATAATATTACACTGCAACACTGATTATGGACGCTTTCGTCCAGTTCGCCATTCCAGTGCTCCTTACTTAAAATCCACATAAAGGCATTTCTAATTCCTGGAACCAGTCAAATTTGACCGAACCAGATGCAATTGACCATGATTTGCATTCAAGCATTGCTGATGGTGACATTTTTTATTTTAATTTTTTCAAAGCTTATATATATATAGCTTACTATAATTTTATTTTATTTTTTTCCAGGGCATGCATTCATTCGTTTATTGATTTATTTGTTTGTTTGTGTCATAATAAAAACAATAATAATTTCTATCCTGTAAAATTATAGCCTATTTTTTTAATTATGTGTTTCTTTTTGTGTAAAATCATTGTCTGGAAGTGTTTGGTAGGCTAGTATTTGGGAAGGTAACTGTTACAAGCCCCCATGGCACGACTGTATATTTAATGATAGGTGAGGAAGTGAACAATATTCATGATCCAGCCTATATTAGCTGTTGAATGGAACAATTTAAGCATTTTGACTGGTATTTTAATGGCTTTTATTGACTGTAATGCTTAATTGGTCTCCATACGGGGATTATAGACTAGTTTACAATCTCGTTATCAGACGTCGGGTGACCTGTGAACTCGAGACAGGGCCTGAATTTGAAGATGAGTTTTGATGTGTTTCAGAGATGTTTAAAAATAACCAAAACGGGTAAGGATGATGTGAATGAGAGCTCAGGCAGTTAAGGGAAATTGAGAAGCTTATGATCTTTGATCCGTGGATGTCTTTTGCTTATCAAAAACACTTGAGACGACTGCAGTACAAAGCGATTTCATATTACTGCTTGACTGTTCATTAAATGTGCTTTGCCATCTGGGACAGTGTAAATCTCTGCACAGATGTTATGGAGAATATCATTCTCTTATATCTGAGAGAATTCTTGTAATAGTGCGGTTTGCACATTCCCCAGCTGTTAACAGAGTGCGCAGCAGACTTTTACGCACATAAACGCTGTTTTATTATCTGCTCCCTCTGTTAGCCAGAAAGGATTTCATTTTTCAACTTTTCAAGGGCTTTGGAACCCAAATGTAATAAATGAATCACACATAATATATCTGCGTAGATGTGT